TGGATGAATCTCAGGAAAAAATAATAGGTTAAAATAACAAGCCACCACATGCTCAATTGGGCAGCACATATACTAAAAATAACAAGATGCCCCATATGACATACACCATTGACATTAAGTCTAAGGACAATAGAAAACTAAGCATTATAGTCTCCTGGGAGGTACATAATATGTGATAAAAGTAAAGCAAAGCAAAGGAATAATATAAAATTCAGGATTTGGGGTCAGAGCGGGGGAATGCGGTCAAGTGTACACTGGGAATATCAACTTTATTGCCTTTTTATTTTTTATCATTCATAAGTTCTGTTTTGAGTACCTTCAGTCTTACTAGATATTACCAAACTGCTTTTTTTTTAAGATTTATTTTTTTTAGAGAGAGTGCGCACAAGCAAGTGGGAAGAGAGGCAGAGGGAGAGGAGAGGGAGAGGAGAGAATCCTGAAGCAGACTGCCTGCTGAGCAAGGAGCCCAGTGTGGGACTCGATCCCACGACCCTGAGATCATGACCTGAGCTGAAATCAAGAGTAGGATGCTCAACTGACTGAGCCACCCAGGCGCCCCACCAAACTGCTTTTTAAAGTGATTGTTTCTACTAATCTGATAACAATGTGTGGAAGATCCATTCCCCCATCCCCCCAAATTTGCTATGTCAGGCTTCTTAATTTTTGCCTGTCTGGTGGAAGGAAAATGGTGCTAATCATTTTGATTAGCATTCCCCTGACTACTGGTAAAACTGAGCATATTTTCACATCTTTATTGAACGGTTCAGTTTCACTTCAGTGAATTGCCCATTCATTTCTTTTGACAATTTTCCTATTTAATTGCTTTTCTTCTTTTTTTTTATTACTTTTTAGGGATTTTGTGAAGATTCTAGAACCTACTTCTTTATCAATCACATGCGTTTCAAATGCTTCTCTCAATCTGTGGCTTGTCTTGTGAATTTCATCATGTCTTTCAACAGTCAGTTTTTAATTTGTCATAGTAAATATATGAATATTTGTACATGTTTTGTGCTTCTTGAGTCTCATTTCAGAAATCCTTCACTACAATCCTATAAAGATATTCTGCTACCGGGCGCCTGGGTGGCTCGGTTGGTTGAGCGACTGCCTTCGGCTCAGGTCATGATCCTGGAGTCCCG